GGCTCTCGAACAGTGGATGTGGAATTCTTGGTCGTCAAGCTGCCGTCGCCGTATAATCTCATCATGGAGCGATCTTGGTTGCATACTATGCAGGCCGTGCCGAGCACCTATCATCAGCTTCTACGCTTCCTGACAGAACGCGGTATTGAGCAAATTCGTGGCTCCTAGAAATCGGCACAGGTATGTTATGTCCTTGCTAAAAAAAAGCCAAAGGAGCTGCAGGTGAATTCTATTGAGGTGCCAGATCGAGAGAGCCTCGACGATGTTGGGCGGCTCCCAAATGAAAAGGCCACGGACGGCTTAGACCGACTTGAAATCGATGGAAGCCCAGACAAATTCTTCATGGTCGGTGCATCCCTGAATCAGGCCGACAGACAACAACTAATCTCTTTCCTGCTCAGCAACCGAGATGTCTTTACGTGGACTCCATATGAGATGCCGGGTATAGATCCGTCCATTTCACAGCATCATTTGAATGTTGATCCTAAGTGCAAGCCGGTCATTCAGAAAAGTCGGCGGTCAGCTGCAGAGCACACTGCCGCCTTTGTTGAGGAGGTTGACAAGCTGCTTGATGCCGGGGCAATTAGGGAAGTGACCTACCCTACATGTCTCTCTAATACAGTGGTGGTGAAGAAGAAAAATGAGACTTGGCGAGAGTGCGTCGATTTCACGGACCTAAACAAAGCCTGTCCCAAGGATTGTTTTTCCCTACCTAGAATTGACCAACTTGTAGATGCGATGGCACGCCATCAACGTATGAGCTTCCTCGATGCTTACAGAAGCTACCATCAAATCGCCATGCATCCAGAGGACCAGGACAAAACTGCTTTCCTCACCCCAAGAGGAATCTACTGTTACAAGGTTATGCCTTTTGGGCTGAAAAATGCAGGGACAACCTACCAAAGACTGGTCACCGCCATGTTCAAGGAGCAACTCGGCCACACTATGGAAGTGTACATCGACAATATGGTGGTCAAGTCCAAGGAAGAGCAGAATCATATAGCCGATCTGGAAGAAACATTCGGCATTCTATGCAAATATGAAATGAAGCTGAACGCTTCGAAATGTGCGTTTGGGATCGGCTCTAGCAAATTCTTGGGATACATTGTCAACCACCGGGGAATCGAAGCCAACCCAAGGCAAATCACATCAATCCTAGAACTTGGCTCCCCTCGATCGGTCAAGGAAGTTTAGAAGTTAATGGGGATGGCCGCTGCACTCAACAGGTTCATCAATCGGTCCACAGATCGCTGTCGAAAACTCTTTTATACACTACCATAGGGCAAGGCTTTTGAATGGTCCGCCAAATGCGAAGCCGCTTTCAACGGCCTTAAGACCTACCTCCGCTCAGTACCACTCTTGACAACACCTGTGGCTAGTGACCCGCTCATTTTGTATCTGGTAGTTTCCGATAGGGCCGTCAGCGCCGTACTGATAAAAGAAGAGCTAGGGGAGCAGCGGCCAGTGTATTATGTGAGCAAGGCAATGGTTGATGCCGAAACACGCTACCTTCCGCTAGAAAAACTCATCCTAGCCCTAGTCATGGCGGCAAGAAAAATGATGCATTACTTCCAAGGACATAGCATTAGGGCTCTAACAGATTATCCCCTCCGATCAGTACTACGAAGTAAAGAAGAATCAGGACGTGTTTCAAAGTGGGCCCTTGAACTCGGCCAGTACGACATTCAGTTTCTACCTAGAACTTTAATCAAGGGACAGGTGCTTGCCGACTTTGTTGCCAAATTCACTGGGGGGTCTTGCCAATTTCAAGTCCGACGAGATTCGACTGAAGCCGAACTAAAGAATTTATGTTGGGGACATTTGGCAGTTGTACTGTGATGGATCATCCAATCAGCGGGGCAGCGGAGCTGGAGTTGTAATCATGGCTCCCGACGGTGCAATAATTGAGTAGGCCATCAAGCTTGGCTTCGAAGCGTCAAATAACGAAGCCGAATATAAAGTCCTTCTAGCTGGTTTGCGGAATGCACATCTTCTGGGTGCTCGGTGTTTGCTTGTATTTTGGATTCAAAACTGGTGATCAATCAACTAAAAGGGAAGTACGCGGCAACAAACGACCGTATGGCGGTTTACATGAAAACGACCAACTCCTTACTGGCAAAATTTGACCATCATGAATTGAACCAGATAACACGTAATCAGAACACAAACGCAGATGCCCTTGCTTGCCTAGCCTCCGCCATTAATTCAAAGATTAAATGGACCATCGAAGTAGGTTTCATCCCAGAGCCAAGCATTGGCCCTTCAGAGGAAGTCCAGGTTAATGTTATAGAAACTAGACCGAGTTGGATGGATCCCATCGCCGCATTCCTGTCTTCCGAACAGCTCCCAAAGGACAAGAAAGAAGCGCACAAGCTGTAAAACAAAGCCCTGCGTTACTAATTGGATCCGCAAAGAAAGCTTTACAAAAAGTCCCTTTCTGGCCCATACCTAGATTGTGTGTATCCGGATAGAGTTGAAGAGCTTCTGGCTAAAATACATGAAAATAGTTGCGGCGCACATTCTAGTGGGCATTTTTTGGCCCATCGAGCTATAACACAGGGATATTATTGGCCAACAATGAGATCTGATGCCGAATGCTATGTGAAAAAATGTGAACGGTGCCAGAAGTTTTCCTCGTTAACCCATCTGCCTGCTGAAGAGTTGAGCTCTATCACCAGTCCCTGGCCATTTGCCCAGTGGGGGCTTGATATCGTAGGACCATTGCCGAGGGCCCCAGGCAACAAGCGCTACTTGATCGTCTCCACAGACTATTTCACAAAATGGGTCGAAGCGGAGGCATTAACGTACATTCGAGATACTGATGTCAAGCGCTTTGTGTGGAGAAATATCATAACGCGATTCGGCATCCAAGAGCTCTTATCTCAGATAATGGCACCCAGTTTGATTGTGGCGTCTACCGGGAGCTATGCAGCAAGTATGGTATCCGGCCCTACTTTTCCACGCTGGCTTACCCCAGAGCAATGGTCAAGCAGAAGACTCTAACAAATCTATCTTGGACGGCATCAAAAAGAGGTTGGAGAAAGCTAAAGGCAAATGGGTCGAAGAATTACCAAGTGTATTGTGGACACATCGAACTACGCTGAGGCGATCCACTGGAGAAACGCCGTTTGCTTTATGTTTTGGAACCCAGGCGATCATACCCCTAGAGATCGGCCACCCAACCCTGAAATCGCAAGTTTTTGATATGGGCCGAAATGACATGATGCTGGCTTTGGATTTGATCTAGATTGAGGAACGAAGAGACCATGCCCTTGCCTTCATGGCACGATACCACCAATAGCTTGCCAAGTCGTACAATCAACGTGTTCAGCTGCGCCGCTATACACCAGGAGAGTTGGTCCTGAAGAAAGTACTTTCGGCGGCCAGGAAACCGGCTGATGGAAAATTGGGCCCCAACTGAGACGGCCCCTATTAGGTCGATTTGATAGCAGGGGTAGGGGCGTATCGGCTTAAAGACATGTCTGGAAGGAGCCTCCCACAGCCTTGGAATTCAACACACTTACGAAAATTCTATCATTAAACTCGACTTGTGGGGAATGATACTGGTTCTAAATGGTTTAACGTGTACGTGCACTGCTTTTGTAATGCAAAGATCCTTGTTTACTCACTGCCAAATCCAGTTCAAAATTGTTCCAATTAAAGTCTCCGGATGCGGAGCCTCATCGGCGCAGGACGCCTTTGGTCTGATAAAGCTTTCGGATTCGGAGCGCCCTTTGTGGATATCACGATTGGCCAAAAAAAGCCTCCGGATTCAGAGCCTCATCGGCGCAGGACGCCTTTGGGCCGATAAAGCCTCCGGATTCGGAGTGCCCTTCATGGATATCACGATTAGCCAAATAAGTCTCCGGATTCGGAGCCTCATCGGCGCAGGACGCCTTTGGGCCAACAAAGCCTCCGGATTCAGAGCGCCCTTCGTGGATATCACGATTGGCCAAATAAAGCCTCCGGATTCGGAGCCTCATCGGCGCAGGACGCCTTTGGGCCGATAAAGCCTCCAGATTCGGAGCGCCCTTCGTGGATATCACGATTGGCCAAATAAGTCTTCGGATTCAGAGCCTCATCGGCTCAAGACGCCTTTGGGCCGATAAAGCCTTCGGATTCGGAGCGCCTTCGTGGATATCACGATTGGCCAAATAGTCTCGGGATTCGGAGCCTCATCGGCGCAGGACGCCTTTGGGCTGATAAAGTCTCCGGATTCGGAGCCCCCTTCGTGGATATCACGATTGGCCAAATAAAGCCTCCGGATTCGAAGCCTCATCGGCGCAGGACGCCTTTGGGCCGATAAAGCCTCTGGATTCGGAGGGGCCTTCGTGGATATCAAGATTGGCCAAATAAGTCTCCAGATTCGGAGCCTCATCGACGCAGGACGCCTTTGGGCCGATAAAGCCTCCGGATTCGGAGCGCCCTTCGTGGATATCATGAGTGGCCAAATAAAGCCTCCGGATTCGGAGCCTCATCGGTGCACGACGCCTTCGAACCGATAAAGCCTCTCGATTCAGAGCCTCATTGGCGCATGGCGCTTTTTGGGCCGAAAAAGCATACTGATTCAACCAGGGGTGTGCGTACTACATATATGCCGAATAGATATTTAATGAAGAACGCTTAGATATTTCGGCCAGCAGAAACTGTTTACGTATCAAAGTATATTAACATTCGAGATGAAATGCTTGATTGTGATTAACTCAGACCGATCAATGTCTATTCAATCATCTAAAATACGTTTATTCAAACATTTATACAATAAAACACATGCAAACACGTGTGTGCCGAACAAAAATTGCAACAAAACACATTGAAAATAAAATCTTTTTATTCAATCAACCAATAATTACATAATTTCAGACGCAATCTGCGTTTGAGCAGTACAATGAATATTTTTATACGGCGTCTCCCTCATCATCACTCTTCTCGACTTCAAAGGTGGAAAAGGGAAAATGATCACGTTAGTACAGCGGCAACGCCGAATCAACACCCTTTGCTCAGAGATCCTCCGCGTCTTGAAGTGCCACGATCCAACCGTGCCTAAAGCCCTCGTTCTCGTATCGACAGACCTCCTCTGCAAGTTTCTCTTTTGTCTTGTCGATCCCAACCTTCCGGCCCGCATGGAAGCCTTGCTCATAACCCATGGTCCTCACATTTTCTACAGCAAACATGCTTGCCGTATCTCGATCGGCGATGGCGTGACTCAATAGCTGTTGGGTCACCCTCTCCTTCACGATCGGGTTAGATTGACCCGCCGCACACAGCTCGGCGGCTTTAGCCTTTCTATGCTCCTTAAGCTCACGCTTGGCTTTCTCCGCTCGAGACCCCAAACTGCGGATCCGTTCATCCTTCTTCTCTATCTCCCGCCGCGCGACGCGCAGGCGCATGTCGACTTCGTAGGCGGTGTACAGCCCCTTCACCGCCCCATGGATACCTTCTTGAAACACTTCGAAATCTTGTCGTCCAACCATCGATTGTTGGACTTCCGGTGGAAAGATCTGTCGAGCAAACTCGACCGCTACACTCGGATCATTAACTATGGAATCTGCCTCAGTCATCGGTTTATTCCCCATGAACACCGCAAAACTCAATGGTCGTGGCGTCGCGTCTGGCTCATTCCTTGGTCGTGGTTGCAGGGAGCTTCCCTGTTGCTACTTCTCTTTTTGGGGTGATTTGCTTCGACGGCTTGGGGGCTCACGTTTTTCCCTTTCCCTGGACGTCCTTTCTTCCGTGCGCGTAGGTTCGCTGCTGTGATTCATTGTAGAGTCTAGTTCAGCCAGCGTTCGTCCTTCTCCTCTACTGTTGAAGAACAGTCTATTTGACATTCGCACTTGCCCCAAGCTAGTTTAAATCGAGTTTGAATAAAAATAAGTGGAGTCACTGGCGCGAAATCACCCCATTTATTTGTTTGTATGCAGCGCCCCCGAGGCGACGTCATTAAAGCCAAACGCCGATCGACGGATGCCGCAGCCATTCCACGAACTGGGCTTATTCGGCTAATGAAGCTCGTGCGCTGGCTGGGGCAAGGGCAGATTTATTAATATAATCGGCCAAGTATTTAAGCCCAATGCCGATCAATTTATGCCGCAGCCATTCCACGAACTGGGCCTATTCGGCTAATGGAGCTCGTGCGCTGGCTGGGGCAATGGCAGATTTGTTAATATAATCAGCCAAGTATTTGAGCCCAATGCCGATCGATTTATGCCGCAACCATTCCACGAACTGGGCCTATTCGGCTAATGAAGCTCGTGCACTGGCTGGGGGAAGGGCAGATTTATTAATCTAATCGACCAAGTATTTGAGCACAATGCCGATCGATTTATGCCGCAGCCATTCCACGAACTAGGCCTATTCGGCTAATGAAGCTCGTGCACTGGCTGGGGCAAGGGCAGATTTATTAATCTAATCGGCCAAGTATTTGAGCACAATGTCGATTGATTTATGTCGCAGCCATTCCATGAACTGGGCCTATTCGGCTAATGAAGATCGTGCACTGGCTGGGGCAAGGGCAGATTTATTAATCTAATCAGCCAAGTATTTAAGCCCAATGCCGATTGATTTATGCCGCAGCCATTCCACGAACTATGCCTATTCGGCTAATAAAGCTCGTGCACTGGCTGGGGCAAGGGAAAATTTATTAATTTGATCGGCCAAGTATTTAAACCCAATGCCGATCGATACTTGGTATTAAAAACAAAGTGTAGCCATTTTGCAATCGAGAGCAATATCATTCATCAATAACAAAATTTAGCACAGATAACAGCAAGGCAAAAAAGGAAATTTTCATTAAGAAATTGGGCACAAATTGTAGCCATTTTACACATGAAAATTACCAAATAAAAAGCTGTAAAAATACATTCGAAAACTCCTAAAACAAAACAACAAATTAATCCTAAGGTGTCGCCCAAATTAAGCCTCAGAGTCAGACTCTAGCGGCTCAATATCCAATTGCTCGTACGGAATTGACATAGCTAATGTCACGTCAGTAGCAGCAAGGGCTTTGAGCCAGCCGTGTTTGAATCCCTGATTTTCAAATTTGGGGACTTCGTCTACATATTCGGCGAAGGTAGCACTTTTCCCGGCCTCGAATGCCTTAGAAGCCTCCGAGTCGGCTGCTTCCTTCGCCTTCTTTGCTTCCTCCAACTCAGCCTCCAGTTTGGAGACCGCCTCCCGGGCCAATTTCAGCGCCTCCGCGCTTGCCTCTGCCCTCTTCTCGGCGGCTAATCGCAGTTCATCCGCATTGCGTGCCCTCTCTACCTCGGCCTCGGCCCGCGCGACTTCCATCTTCGCCCTTAAAGCCTCGAACTCGGCCCTGCTCCTTTGGCCCTCAACTTCCGTCTGAAGACGGCCGAGCTGTTCAATGGCGTCATGATGGCGACGACCCATCTCCGCTATCCTTCCAACGGTCTACAAAACAGGAAATTAAGACCAAAATAGTATTTGCATAAAATGAAAAGACTAGGTCAAGATATATACCAAAAGTGCCAATTGCGTGGCTAATGCTATTGTAACCAGATCCGACTACGCCCGGAAAGCCGCCTTGTCAACCGGCAGTGAAACGAACGTAGCCATGCTGAGCGTGACCATTGGATCTTTAATTACCGAAGCATCAGAGGGGATCGGCATGTTTTTTTATCTTCGGTTGAATAACGGATGGCACGATCGCATCTGATTCCTCTAAACAAGGTCGTTTATCGGTGCGGTTATCTTCTGAGCTGGCCTCAACCTCGGCAGGGCACTTCTCTGCCCTTTGTTCAGCCTCTTGATCGGCCTGCACAACCAACTTGGCCTTGGCACTTCGGTTTTCTGCCGTTCCCTCCTCAATAACAGGCAAGGAGGGCTGAGATTCACTAACAGGCAGGTTGGGCTGAGATTCGGTGGTAGGAGGCACTCCAGCTTGAATGGCCTCTGCCATTCGTTGTGCTGCCATCATTTCCGCATTCGCCTTCTTGGCAAGTTATGTGAGGCTTAGCCCAGCCATATCTTCGGCGTACGCACCGGGAAGGTTCTCTAGACTGTGAAAAATGTTGTCAAGTGGAAGGTCTTCTTGGCTCAAAATGGACGGAGGGTCGACTGAGTTGAGGCCGGCTTCCTCAAAGGCTAACTTCAAAGCCTCGTCGACTTCAGTTTCGAATTGATCGGACTCGGCAACCTCAGCTACTTCTGGTCGTTTCGAATTGGATCCCTCGAAACCAACTTGCCTCAAATTTTTGAAATCGGTCAAGATAAGGGCGGTAAGAAACTCCTCACCCTTCGGAACTGGGATATTTTCTGCCACCGAGAAGGTCGTGTAAGTCGGCTTATAACGGAGAAGAACGTGGGCCGCCCTCCTCTGTTTTTAAAGACTTGGCCGGCCAAAATATCTGAGCGCAACCTTGATTTCCGAAAGAACGGCGTCGTCGGTTGAAGTCAGGACTTTCTTCAAATCGTTCCCTGCACAAGTAAAACCATGAGGTCTCGAAAATGAAGCTTTATAAATATAACAAAAAACAAATAAAAGAAGCTACACGGCCACCTGGTTCGCCCCTCCGTCTAGGAACAGGATTGAAGCGATCCTCACCTTCGCCAAATTCCCAATTACCTTGGACAATGACCATAACATCATCGACTCGCTTCCCAGAGCTGGAAAGCATAGTCACTAGTTGATGGTCGGTGTCCTTGGCCCTAAGGAAGTAATGCCCATGTCGACCAGAAGACTTGGCCAGGGCATAACAATGCAGAATAGCGGAGATGCCTAGGTTAATCCTAAGGCGACGGTTTAGTGCGATAATCCCCATTACGATTCTAAAAAAGTTGACATTGGGTTGGGAAGGGATTAAACCCTAATGGCAAAGCACAGCCCTAAGGAATGGGTGAAGGGGAAAACGGACTCCACCTTCTGCGATTGACAGGAGAGGGAAGACAATCGTGGTTTCATCAGCCCTCTCCATGTTGAGGGTGCCGTCTGTCACAAGTGATAGATGGACGTTATCAGGAATGGAGAAATGGTGTCGGAAGCCAGAGATTTGATCCGAGGAAAGGAGATCTTTTAAATGTTTTGCCATTTCTTTCAGTCGATAGGATCGTGCCAAGCCAAAAACAAAGCAAGAGAAAAGATTCAAGGCAGAGAGGGAGAGAACTTACAAGAGACGAAGAGGATAGTGAAGGAAAGGAAGTTGTAGAGGTAATTCGGAAGGCAGTCCAGCGACGAGTGTCTCAAAGAGTGTATGTATTTGAAAAGACATCAAAATTTTAAATCGCAATAAATAGAAGTGTACGAAGGGGCGGGAAGTTGAAGTGATAACCGATAAGCGTGTGCTCAAACATTTGCGTTGGAATGAGGTTAGCCGCCGAATTTCGGCTCTGACTTTTCGAGTTCGAAACCAAACACTCCAGCCAACTGTCGTTAGTGGAGTGCTTGGGGGGCAATTATGAGGGCCGAATATTGGGAGTTGCAGAGATGCCGAATATTCGAACTCTGGGTCAAAATATATAGCATTTGGCGCCATCTCACACGCTCGAACCCTATCCTATTCGGTCCAATAACCGGTCAAGCAAGGGGCCGAGTGAAAAGTGGTTTGTTACAGTTGAAGCCGAGTAGCGAATTGAAAGTGGACCCGATCCCGAGGCCTAAGAAAGAAAAGATATAAATAGAAGAACATCAGCCAGGAAGAGGTATGTGAGAACTATTACACTTTACTTAAAATACAAGCAATTCAGAGAGTAGAGACTGACTTACCCGTCGGAGTGCTAATTCCGGCACCCTCGACTGAAGTGTTGATTCTTTTTCAGGTGGCTAGCTGAGGATCACGAGCGTCCCCCGGGATCAGAAGAGTATTTCCAAACCACTTCTCCACAAATTATTAGTCTCATTTTAAAGATAATCAAACCAAATAGAGTGATTGTTATTTTTTATAGACCAATATAAAATATATGTAACAATAATTTATAATAATACATAATAATCAAATCAAACAGAGTGATTTGATTATTATGGCCCACACTTTTCACATCAACTGGCCTAGCGAATTTCCATGACTATGCCATTTTCAAAACTTTATTCCCACTCTAGAGTGGGTGTTTATCTTTATTCCCATTCTTGGGTGAAACGGCTTTTCCAGTGCCCTTTTTGTTGAATAAAAAAGATTATTTTTTTTGTGCATAAAATCGGATTTTGAAAAGCTGTTTTTACTTAATTTTTAATTATTTCTCGTTAATTTAAAACGGTTTTGCTAAACCCGTTTTGTGCCAAATATTTTTTGTTTTTAAATTCTTAATTTTGAAGATAAATATTTACACTCTGGCATATATTTCAAACATAAAACGGTTATAGGAAAACCGTTTTACAATACGGCTTTAGCAAAGCCGTTTTTAAAAAAATGTTTATTTTTTTCATATGTCAGTGTTGGTTTTGGTTGAATACACGTTTTTGCCCTGCTCCCCAGTCCAACACACACAGACGAAGCCAAAGAGAGACGAAGAGAGACGAAGAGAGTGCACAGTGGAGGAGGGTAATCACTTTTTTGGTTATCACTGTTGAACATATGAATGAGTTCAGAGATCTTGTTTGTTCCCTTAAATATTTGTTACCAAGAAATATTTAAATAAAACTTCACACAGCATATACAAAGTATCTAATTTGCTAATTACTACTACGAATAGGAAAACAAAATAAATGTATGACTATAACACTTTAGAACAACGTAGCTAGTTCAAACATAAGTATCCAACAAAAATAATTTGTGGAAACATTCAACATAACACAGTACATAAAATAAAGTGACGAGTACAATACTTAACAGTTACATAGATGACATTTTTAGACAAACCTTTCACAAACTCATTGCCGGAAGAGTAATTTTAACACACACAGTACATAATTATGGATAACAACATATAATTTAGTAGACACATAGACGCCTAATCCTCGCTCAAATCGGCAATCTCAGAGTCTAACAATCTTAGAGCTTAGGGTTAGAGAGAAGTGCAGGATCTTCCTTGATAGCCTTGATAGCCTCAGTATTTGGTTCTGTTCCTTTCTTCTTAGCATCCGACTTATGTATAGATAGTTTCATATCGCGGGCTAACCTACGGTGCATTTGAGAAATCTCACGTCGAAGTCTTTCACATAGTCGATCAACATTATCTGGATCTTTCTTTTGGATCTCAACTGAACGTGCTTTCGGCACCTTCAGTCGATTTTCCCGACATAATCTTTCCATTTGCACTTGCTCTATAGATAGTGTGGGCCACTTAAGAAGTTTAGCGTCTACTAAACCATATCCTGTTTGATTATCAGATGGATCCTCCACGAAACCACATGGATCTCGATAGTACTTGGGCATGACAAAATGTCGTTTTCCAAACCTATCATGATAAGCACAAGAGGCATCTAACAAAGCAAATGGTGTTTCATCTTCAGCATTTCCATTTCCCCTTCCGGTTCCTCTCGGCGTGAACTCTCACTTCTTTCGAAGTTCCTATCCCCTGTGAGTCCCCTTCCTGTTCCTCTTCCTCGTCGTGAACTCTCACCTCTGCGATTCCTACCCCCTGCCGTGAATCTATACTTCATTTGATTTTTTCTCAATAAATGAACGATAATTTCCTAGGGCGAACTGAGTGGAAAGGCTATGTGTTTACCATCACCCCTTCAGTCCTTTATATAGTTGTTTCTCAACACTATTGCCATGTGGTCGTATTAATGTGACTTAGATGAGTTCTGAAATGTGAGGAAAAAATAAAGCATCTAAGTCACACTGCACAAAGTCACATGCCATTAAAAGCCCACATATACCAACACATCTTTATGAGTTGTCATTGTGAGGAATAAACAATCAATGCTAAACACGCTCCACATAATCAATACTTCAATCGTCACTCGAAAGTGACTACTCATTTTTTTCAAAAAAGACTAATCATCCATATGCTGTTTACTGTGGCCATGTGAACTTGGTCATTTTATTGAGTCCTTTAATTTATTACGTCTGTTAAAGTCACTGCATCACTGAAAAATGGTGGACGTATCACTGCGACGACTTTGACGAGACTACTCACTGTATGAAAAAAGCGAGAAGTCATACCATAGCTACTGTGCCCATGTGAACTTCAGCAATTCATAATGGGATGAGGGGGTGTCAGAACAAAACAACAAAACAATTAGACCTTTTGTGTTTAAAAAGCCACCCTATGCAGCTTCAAATAGATTGATAAATCTTGAAGAGAAAATATTATAGAGTTGGAATGTATTGAAGATTAATTTGTAGTAGAGTACTTATAAATGGGTTTTTGGATGTATAGAGCTTGAAAGTGTTACAGATAAAAGCTAGCCTAGTATGCAGACAAGAACAACATCGACTTAAATCAACACATAGTTAACTAAAAATCTGAGAGAAATCATTAAAAAATAGTTCAAAGAGATTTTAAGAGTAGTTAATACAACAACAATTCGAGAAAATCAAGGAAGTGTAACAAGTTAAAAAATATTTGCCGAACCGAAGAATCCAAACCCCATCATGTACATCTAAATAAGCTCACAATACTTATAAAAGATAGAGAAATTAAATTGAAATTAAATTTATGAAATTAGAAATTGAAATTAAATTGAATTAAATTTGTAAGCGGAAAAGTGAAATTAAATTTCTAAGCAGATTTGAACTTTGCTTAAAACCTTCAGATATGCACTGAGTAGTCAATAAAAGTCGAAGTGACAACTCCTATAAAGTTGATGCATAGTTGTTCAGGTCATAAAGGTTGACGTGACAACTCTAGTACAATAATTTTAAACATACAGCTACCATGTGAACCTCCTGAAGTATGACAAGTCATTGTCGGCATGTGAGTTTAGAGTTTATAAGACATGAATACTTGCGTCCATCTCCATTTTGAATTTGTAAGTATTCAAGAATATACACGCATTCGAAAAGACAACAAAATTTTAAAACATAATAAATGAAA